TTGTAGAATAATTTGACCCCCTCTTCTTTGTGGCAACCCCTCAAATACTGGAATACTGCTATCATGTCGCCACTAATTCTTCTTTTCTTTACACTAGCCAAACCCCAATCCTGAAGCAAGGGCAGAAGGGGACAAGAGGGATCGGTTGAACTTCTCCCAAAGACAGGTAGGCAACGAAGCAACGAAGACAAAGGACTCTAGGCAGTGATCACTGGCTCGCTTGTGGGGCAAGGCAAGGATGGTTGTGAGGAACAATTGCCAGTACTAACTGCTTGCTTGCTCATCTACTTTCCTTATTTCCTTTGTTAGTTGCGAAGTCGTGTTCGGCCCATTGCAACCCCATGGACAACGTTCCTCCAAACCTTCCTGTCCTTTACCACCCTCCAGAGTCCATTTAAGCTCACACCTACTGCTTCAGTGGCGCCATCCAGCCACCTCATTCTCTGTCGTCCCCTTTGTCTTTTGTTCTCAATCTTTCCCAGCATTAGGCTCTTCTCCAGTGAGTCCTTCCTTCTCGTTAGGTGGCCAAAGTATTTTGAGTTTCATCTTCAGGATCTAGCCTTCTAAAGAGCGGTCAGGGTTGATCTCCTCTAGGACTGACCAGTTGGATCGCCTTGCCGTCCAAGGGACTCGCAGGAGTCTTCTCCAGCACCATAGTTCAAAGGCCTCAATTCTTTTGGCACTCAGCCTTTCTTATGGCTCAACTTTCACAGCCATACATTGCAATTGGGAAAAACCATAGCCTTGACTATAAGGCACACTTTTGTTAGCAGGCTGATGCCTCTGCTTTTTGGTATGCTGCCTGCTTTTTAGTATGCTGCTTACTTCCTTGCTCTGATGAAACTGCCAGCAGGAGAAAGCAAAGGTATTGAAAATATTTGTAGCTCGGATTGAAGTTTTGGGGGCAAGGGTCCCTTCTAACAGGAAGCTCAGAGAACGGAGCTCCTGCCAAAACAAAGGTATATGCCAGGGACCTCCAACCTTGGCAACTTTAAGGCCTTTAAGGCTTTGCTGGCTGAGGAACTCTGGGAGTTGAAGTCCACAGGTCTTAAAGTTGTCAAGGTTGGAGACCCCTGGTATATACGCCCTTCCTTCGCGCGGGTCCCCTTCGTCCTCCCCGCCAAAGCAAGAGGGCTGGCGGAGAGAGCGGGGCGGCTGCTTACTCCCACAAGGACTCTGCCTTTCCTTCCCAAAGGTGGAACACGGCCTTCCAACTCTACTCCACTGGCTGCCGGATTAAGAAACGTGGACACCATCATCACACACACACACACACACAATGATAAGGATTCAGAGCAACACGCAAGGTCGCCTCCAGCGCCACTTGCTGTGGAAACAGCCCAGGCCTTGGGCAGCGAGGAAAGAAAGGCGCGCATGCGCAAGGAGGCAAGTTCCAAGGAAATCAAAGGAAGAGTTCCTGAGGTGCTTTTTTTTCCCCTCAAAAGGCACCTGGACCTTTTTTTGTGTTGTTTTTTTTTTTTGCTTGAAAACGTTTCGCTTCTCATCCCGTACTGAGGAAAGCTTCTCGGGTGAGAAGCGAAACGTTTTCAAACAAACAAACAAAAAAAAGGTCCAGGTGCCTTTTGAGGGGTGGGGGGGGGAAACCCGCAAAACCCTTCGGGGCAACCGCGACCTTGAATGACGGAGACTCCCCTCAGGCAATGGCTTTCGGGAGGTTTTAACCCCGCCCCCTTAGCTCGCGAGCTCCTCCTCTTCCTCTCTGGACATCCCCGCCCTTTCCTTTCCCCTCCCTCCCCAGTTTCTGCAGTGGGGCTTCTGGATCAGGTGAGTCTCTCTATCTTGCGCTGGTTCCCCGTGCGAGGCAGGGACCCCTCCCTGTATTTGCAGTAGTGGTTTGTTTCTTTTTTTTTCCTTTTCTTTTTAAAGAAGCCGCAGATTGAGTTATTTCTATGAAAGTGGTTAGGAAACGGCCGTCTTGGGTCGCCTGGCTTGGGATACACGCCCTGGCCTAACGCAGGGGTCCCCAAACTTGGAAACTTTTAAGACTTGTGGACTTCAACTCCCAGAATTCTCCAGCCAGCTATGCGGGCTGGAGAATTCTGGGAGTTGAAGTCCACGTCTTAAAATCACTGCTTCACTTGTGGAGAACATAAATTTGGAAACCAGTGCCCCAATACTAATGAGATGATAAAAGACGGAGATTGCTGCTCTCTTGCAGTTTAAATTTAAGAATAAAAATGACTAGAGATCCAGCATCCCAAGGTTTCTTCAAGGAGTTCTATGACAGAATAAAAACCAATAAAGCTTTTAAAAAGTTTATTCTAATCCAGGCAATTTTCTATCACTCTTCCTCAGAGGTCTGTTAATTGTTTTTAACATGTTCTATGGCCTTCTCTATTACAGAAAATGGGTTTTGAAAAGAAAATACGTCACTGAGGTGTTCCTGAAGTGTTGAATAGAAATTTCCTATAGTAAACATATCTTAAAGAAATTATAGGAGTTGTAATTCCACGTATTGGAGGACATCTGGTTAAACAAAGATTGCTGTAACGTCAGATGATACATGCAAAAAACTTACATAATGTACATTTTTTTACAAGGCTGCATTTTTTGGATAGTTATACAGCCACTATTGGCCCATTTCTAAACAGTTTACAGCCCAGGGTTGGGGGAACCTGAGTTAGATCACACTAAGCTTAAATTTCATTTCCTCGTTTTTTGATCTCATTTATTAAACCATGGCTTCTAAATTTAATATTTAGATTAACAGCTTATTGAATAATCCAGTATTAAGCAACGATATCTTAACATCCTGTTTAAATTTAAAATGTCAGTATATAACTAGCCTTGTCATATGAGTTATAAGTGTTTTATACACATATTATTTCTTATATCTATGTTGCACTAATATTTTGGGTATGGGTTCACTTTATTGAACAAATAGCACATTCACACAACTTTTAAAAAATATCTGCAGTTTTGTCTATTCAATAAAAATGAACTAATCAGATAGTTTTTCAGCATTTAATAGTTTAATATTTTCTTTGTCAAGGTGTCTTAAAAACATGTTTAAAAGTTTTAAACTTTTAAAATTAAATTTCAAACAATATAACTTTACATGATGAACTTTTTAAATTAAAAAGATGCTGACAATGAACTTAAAAATAATAAATTTTGATTCCAAGATTATATTTATTTTTCTGCTCCCATCCTAGAATGATGTCATTATACCTGAAGAAATTACTGGATCTGGCTGGAAGGAAAGAAGTGAATTCCATAACGCGGTATATTGCCAGCTTCAGGATGCAGCCAGAGAAAAACACAACAATAGCTCAGATTTGGCTAAAAACAATACATGATAAGAAAGGCTCTAGCAGTCGAGCATTATGTATAAAAGTTACTGAAGAGAAAACAAAAAAGAAAAATGCCAAAGAAACATTTGAAAGTGTTGGGAGGAGAATCCCATACAACAGGATACAACTAATTGATGAGAATGGCGAAGACATGGGAGAAATGCATAGGGTAAATGTACTTCGTATTATGGACGAAAGAGGGATGAATCTTGTCCTGCTGTCTGAAAAAACAGATCCACCCAAGTACGGACTAATGACAGGAAAACAAATTTATGAAGAGCGCCTCAAAGTTAGAGACGAGAAAGCCAGCCCCAAAGCAGGTATGCATGGCTTCTGTGAAAGATACTGGCAATTCAGATGTTATGCTAAGTCCCAGTTTATTATAAGCTATGGCTTATTAAGCCATGGTAGCCTGGCTCACATAATACATTAAGCCAGGGATAGGCAGAGTTTTGTCAGTAAGGCCATATTTCATTTTATTTGATTTCCTCTGAAATGGGACAAGATTGGTGTGGGTGGGTGTGCTTGTTTTTACTTTTTAATTTATATGTACTCTATCCTTTTAATAAACTAAAAGGGCTTGACTCCTGATCTTATTTTAATAGGGCCTGTTCAACAAAAGATTATTAAAATGACCACAGTTACAGAGCAACACGATTTCAGTACAAAAGTAAAACAAATTCAGGAATGGATTGACAAGAAGTACCATGTGAAAATTATACTGCGTCAAAAAAATATTTCGGATGGACCAGAAAAGATGGTAAGTTTATTGGAACATTTTAAGGTATGATCTTGGCAGAGATCACAGTATTGTAAGTTGTTTCTAAAATCACTGTTTCATGTCAAATGGAAAAGACCAATTTAGTGTTCCACTTCCCAGCATATTTCACTATTGCAATGGAGGCTGGGCTGCTTGTAATTCTGCATCACCAAAGGGGGCTTTAGGTTCTCAGTCTGAAGAGAAAGATTGCCAGGAAATGGTTTCATCTGGGTCAAGACAGTAAATGCTGACTTGCTGTGTTTGTACTGCCTACTGTTACACTTGTCAGTGAAATAATATGTTGTCCCACTTATTGCTACGCAATTGAAATTATACCGTTACTTGAAGGAAGCATCATTAAAACCAGAGAGAGTATATATTAGCTTGAAATCAGTACTCCTGGGTTCTTGACTTAGGAATTGGAAGATGCAGTGAGCTTCAGAGAGTGAAGTTGGGAGCAGTGATAGCTGTAAATTTTCAGAAAGGTAGGAATATAACTTTCATTCATGCTCATGAAGATCTGCAAGCCAGTGTTTATACTGTTTGAATTTTAGTTTGCCAGTTTTAGGGTCTGTTATTTTATTTGTATAAAATAAAATGACTGGTTGTATTTAACAAAATTTCTTAACTGATACAAAAAAATATTCAAACTATTCATTAAGCCAATTTGTCTTATTTTCAGTTAACATTTTTTGATAAGATTTTGGATATGATGCGTGAGAAAGCCACATATCACTCCATGCCCTCTATTGCTGCAGAAGGAAGGAGTGCCTGTATATTGAGACATTTATCAAAGAAAGAGATCCAGAAATTAAATCTTGTGGAGAAAACTAAAGATATTCAGAAGGAGAATGGAAGCAACATTACAGACTCGGATGTAACCAAGCACTGATTGTTTTTTCTCCTAAAAATGGAATGGAAAAAGAACACAAGTCATTTTCCTTCAGCCTTCTGTACCAGTTCTATAAACTTGGCAATGACCACCCTCTCAAAGCCACTTTTTGTGAGCATCTCATGATGACTGTTAGGCAGATCTAAAACTCTTGTCAAGGAATGGCATTTCAACCGTCAGCAACTTGCTCTTTGCTGCTTGCTGCAGGCACAGATTCTTCCACCGAAGATAAGTTTCTTCTCTGTACTTTTGGAGGAATATATCCACTGAGGTGAGAGGCCAGACTCCGCTTTTGTTGTGGTTTCTTAGGAAGCAAGATCCAAAAGAAAAAAACTGTAATAGAATATCCCTTTTTTGTCATTAAAATCTGATAATAGTTAACAATAAAACTGTCTGTTATTACCAGTCTGGCCAACTGGGTTTTGGAATATCACAGCAGGGTTAAGGGAACCTTAGATCAATTTGGAAGGAGGGAGAAGGAAAGGCTAACTAAAACAGGAAGAAGCACCGAAGCAGGAAGAAGCACCAAAGTGGAGCAAGATTCTATCTTTCTCTACTTAATCTCAGGTAGAGATTGAGAGGGGGGCAGGTACAAAAGACCCTGCATTTAATGCCCTTAGGCTATCCTGGAATAACTAGTGGGAAAACTCCCAATGTGGCTATATTGATAGCAGAGTGGCACTGTTCTGAAAATCTGGGAAGGCTGAGGCCTGTAAGTATTTTAATAACAAACTCGGCCTTCCATCCTTCTGAAGACTGCATAAGCTTTAAGAAAATCTTCATGAAGGCTTAAATGAGACCAGTCTTTTTTCTTGAGGATTTGCATCATCATGATTAAACCGAGCCACTTGCATGAACTCTACTGAAGGTTTATACACAGGCAATTCTCTTTATTTGCAGATTCTGCATATGCAAATTCACTTGTTTGGAAAAATGCATTTGTAATGCAAAACCAACGCCTGGCGCTCTTCCACTTATTTTTGCACATGCAGAGTGGCAAAACATTGGAATCACCCAACATGCACCTCCTAGCTTTTTTTTTTTTTTTTTTTTTTAGCATTCACTAAATTCAGTAGTCAGTAGCAATTTTAGAGAACATGACTACCATGAATAATGCCTGTATATCCCATTCCCTAGAGAATCTTATTAGTTATTATACAATTGCAAAATATTTGCATCAGAGCAGATAATTTCAGACAGGTTGGCCTTGCCCTACTTACCACATAAAATCACTTCAGGATCTCTGTAAGCTTTGTTCTGAGAACTAGAAAATCTGTATTTTGTTTTAGCCGAACCCAGAAGTACAAAAATGTTCTGGATTTTTTATTTGACCAAATTATGACTTATTCAGAGAAGTTCAGGAGAACTTCTGGAATGCAGTGTGTTTCATGTTCACAATTATACATTTGTTCCATTTTTTTCAAGCTCCTACTAGGAGAAAATTCAAGAATTTGACTTACTTTTGTGTTTGACTTTTTCTTATCAGGATCGTGTTGTACCATGTGCCTTATGAGGCTTTGCTGTAAAGAATAAAAATTAATTTTTATGACCTGAAATAGAAGATGAACAATATTTATCAAATAATAGTATTAAAAATGCCTACTTTCATCGCAAAAATCTTCCCGCAGCCAGGATGGTCACACGCAAAAGGTTTTTTTGCCTCATGAAATGAGTGAATATGACTTTGAAGGTTGAACACTGTTGTGTATGTTCTTTTGCAGCCCTCCTTTGGACATTTAAAAACTTCTCTGTCAACAGCATGAGTTTTCATATGACATTTCAGATAATCTTTGCGAACCAATGTTTTGGAACACACTTCACAGGTAACTGGTTCTAGTGGAAAAGGAAAACAAGAGGTAGAAGCAGAGCTTCTATTAAGCATAATTCTTGAAATATCTTTACAAAGAACAATATATAATATATATTATATTACCTTGACCACCATATTAAATCACAGTTGTGCAGCATTCAGTTTCAGAAAGGAAAGGTATTTTGAAGTATGAGAGATGCTCTTTAAGCAATTGTTTTTTTTCCCCTGGATTGCATAGCTGCAGTACAATTTCAGAAGAGTGTTCTGTTTAAGTCAGGTGTGTCCAATCAGTGGCCAAACAGGCCACGCTGGCCCTGGACAGCTTGTAATGCAGCCCCACAAGATCATAAACTTTTAATATACATTATTACATTGTCATCTACATTCACTATATTATGTATCTTATGTGCGGTCCAAGTGGCAAGTCAAAAGGCTGGACATACCTGGTTTAAGTGGTTATTTTATTTGAATTTATTAGTTACCCAATTCTAAAGAACAAATATTACATCAACAAATGACAAGACAATACTTCAAATTTAAGAGCAAATCAAAACATTTATAGAGCATCTGAATCAGACTATAGCTACTATGTTTATATATTACTTGAGGATCAGGCACATTTCTGAATACCAAACCACAGAAACAGATGAGTGTGATATTACATCACATGCTTCTTGAGGACTTTTCAAACATATCCAGTCAGTCAGAGCTGGAAAACAGGACAGTGGACTCAGCAAATCTTCCATGTGATCCTATGAGCATTTCTTTTACTTGCACATGTACCGTATTATATCTACATATTCACCTCACTTAATATGCGTGAGAAGAATCTTTGAATCAAAGGTTGGTGTATTGTTTATGAAATGTTTATTTTATTCTTGAAGGTGGAAATAGAGTACAGGTAGTTGTTGACTTATAGCCATTCATTTAGTGACCATTTGAAATTACAATGGCACTGAAAAAAATGATTTATGACAGTTTTTCACACTTACAAGCATTGCAGCACCTTCATGGTCGTGTGATCAACATTTAGATGCTTGGCAACTGGCAGGTATTTACAGTGGTTGCAGCGTCCCAGGGTGATGTCATCATCTTTTGCAACCTTCTGACAAGCAAAGTCAATGGGGAAGCCAGATTCTCTTAAAAACCATATTACTAAATTAACATCTTTGGTTATTCATTTCACAACTGGCAAGTAAGGTTGTAAAATGGGGCAAAACTCACTTAACTATCTTTCTTAGCAAACATAAATTTTGGTCATAGGTCCAGGTCTACCTATAACTAAAAAACTAGTCAATGGAGCTGTAACACGTAACATATCTTTTTAAATAACAGTTACTGCATAACTTTTAAGATGTGTTTATCAATTAATGTATGCTGACTCAATTATCAAAGTAACTCTACAGCAACTTTAATACTTACCCACATGACTGAGTCTCATGTGTTTCAGGTATTCTGACCAGGTTTTTCCAACAAACAAACAGCTCTCTTTTTTGCATGCATAACCTGTAAAAAAAAACTGGCGTTAACTGGCTTTAAAAAATGCATTTTTTTATTTGTACCCCACCATTATTATTTTTACAAATAATTCAAGGCAGTGAACATATCAAACAAGTCTTCCTACTTTCCCCACAACCACTACCCTGGAGCTGGTTTGGGCTGAGAAGAAGAGTGGCCCAAAGTGACAAGCTGGCTTTCATGATTATACTTTCTATTTGCATTGCACCTCAACTGTCTAATAATTTATATAATATGTTCCATTTATTTCTTATGATTGTGTGAATTCCTTTAGCTTATTCAAGTAATCGTGGTTAAAATAACTACATGACCCCAATTCTTACTCTTTTAGCATTATTGAAACAAAAGGAATAATTAATTACCTTGATGAATTTTCTCATGACGTTTTAAATGGCTGGGTGAAGAAAAGCGCTTTCCACATTCCTCATGGGCACATCTGTGGGACAAAAAACAGTCACTCAAAATGAAAATAAAGCTCACTGCTAATGAAATGTGAGGTATAAACTCTCTTGCAACTGAAAATAAACTTTTTTCCTTCAGTTCTTCATTCTATAAAATCACTTTTCAATAAAAACATTAAGAGAAAAATCTCTCCATGTGGACCAGGAAGGCAAAAATGTGACAGTGAAAGAATGTCACATATATATCCCATTACATTCACAGATTATGTTTAGTTTTATATATTTTGATATATAACTACATTAAATAAATTTAGCAGTCATTGTCTATTAAATAATAAACACAAGCCAAAGTTAAAACTGGAAATTTCTGAGGTGCGTAGTCAAATACTGTGATTGGAAAACTCAGGTCAATTTAAACAATCGAAGAAGAGGGGATGGAAAATAAAAAGTATGAAAATTGGTACCTTGTAACTGAACAAGTAACAAAGTACTCCGAAAAAGTACTTCAGAACATGAATGTACTGTTTTTACATGAGGTACCAATTTTCACACTAAAATATTAGAAGTATAATGTTCACCAGATCAGAGAGAGGAATGAGCAGTTAACTTTTTAATATTTCCTGTCACATATGAATTTAAGCTATGCCAGCCTATTTGGAGACCTCTAATAACATCTTCCTTATGGTAAAAACTTCTAATTCCTACTTGCAAGTATCCTTAAAAGTTATTAATAAAATTCATTCTCAGGCTTTAACTAAATAGGCAAAGTATCAAAATGTTTCACTTACTTGAAATATGGTTCACCAGTGTGTTGAGACTGATGTATTTTTAATTGCTGGTGCTTTTTAAATGATTGTCCACATTTTTCAAAGTCACACTATTTGGAAAATCAATTTGGTTAGTCAGAGAAAATCCACAATAAACTCACAATCTATGATATACTTTATCTTCTATCAAAAGGCTTACTACGGGTATGTAATTGTACAAATTAGCAAAAATGACCACAAATCATCAGTAATTAATCCAATGTAGTTTAGAGAATGCATCAATGCTGAAATTAATCTGCACAAACAAACCTCTTTCAGAATGTAACCCATCCACTATGGCAAGAAAAATAGTCCTTGCCTCTTATATCTAACAAATTGTGATCTAGAGGGATGTACACCATCTTCTGTTACTGCAAAGGAAAAGAGGAAGCCATGGATAGGTTTGTTGATCTACAACGGGGTGGGCAAACTACAGCCCGCGGGCCACATCCGGCCCGTTGGTCTTTTTAATCCGGCCCGCTGAAGATTGGGGCGCCCAGTTGGAGCACCCAAGCGGGAGCCGGGAAACAACAGATCCGGGCTGGACGACGGCTTGGCGGCTGAGCGGGGCAGCCAACAGCAGAGGGGAACGGAGGACAGTCCACCTGCCGGCCGAAGGGAGAGAGACTCGCCAGCTGCCCTTCGAGGAGCCGGTGCGCTCCCAAGGTGACAGGGGAACCCCGCTGGCAACCGCGGAGCAGCGGGCAGGCACGGGTGACTACAGGTGGGGACAGACTGATGGACGGACGGGGCGGCAGGCTCAGGAGCCTCGCGGGGTCTGCCTGCCTTCCTGGCTGCCTGCCTTCCACGCTGGCAAAGGGAGAGTTTGGGGCGTCCGGGTGCGGATGCACGCCGCCTCTCCATCCCTGGAGAGCATCGAGCCCGGGGCGGCGGGCGGCGGCTTCAGCGCTTGCCGGGTGGATTTCTCCTGTATTCAGGACCGGTGCGGTGGTATCTGACGTCCAGGGCTCACGTGTGTGTTTTGGGTCTCCCACTTTTTGCAAGGGGAGGTGTGTTACTCTGTTCTCCCGGGCTGACGACCAACCTCTTGCCTTTATTTACGCCAAAGGGAGTGGGGGGCTGGGGGGTGGGGAATGGTCTTGCCGTGGCTGGCTGGGGTGCGTGTTTGCAGGGCTGCTCGGGAGGAGATCTGGGGGTGCCCGGCTCCCCAAAGTACCCTAGTTATTTCTCGTGTACATGTTTGTGTGTGTGTAGTGACAGCTCCGATGATGTCATATGCCGCTACAACCTCCGTTCTCCGCACATTCATTTTGTCCCTTCCGTAAAGAATCTTTCGCTGTCAATCCGGACCGTTGGAGAGAATTGCGCTCGGATTTCCACAATTCCCACCCTTCGTGGACTGGGCTCCGTTTCCAGCCACGAAGTTTTGCGAGAGCGTCCGCTTGACCATGCTAACCGTGAAAACGCGCGGGGTTTACGCCGGGGTGCTTACTCGGGAGAAAACCTCTCTTGATCGCTGTTCAAGGTAGGGTCTGACTGACTGATGGGGTGGAATTTGCGGTTTCTGCATTGAAACTACACCCCCCCCGAGCCTTTTCAAAGCATCTCAACTACAGTGCCCATGATCCCCAGCAAGAAGAGTTTGGGATAATGGGATAAAGTTAGGCACGCTTGGAAAGTACCCTAGAGCAAAGGCCTGCTTGACATTCTTATAGGACCTATAAGAAAAAAGGACCTTTTTTCTGTTTATGTTTGATATGTACTGTTAACAAATGCAGTTTTTTATGTGTATCGTATCTTGTGCTGACCCGGCCCATCTGTCAAATTTTAAAAGTCAATGAGGCCCCCGAGCCAAAAAGTTTGCCCACCCCTGATCTACAACCTAAGTATGCAAGATCTAAGTTCACAAAATATTCTAAGCCTGTCAAACTGGCATCCCGCTTTGCAAAGGCAAAAAATGTCGCAATAGATTAAGATCCGGCCCTTGACGTGATCGAGTTTGACACCTGTGTTCTAAACCAACTGATTAAGGCTTAGAGTGTGTAACTTCAACCATAGTTAATATGTGGCATGCACATGGGGGGGTGGGTGTTTCTGCGCACATGCGCAGGGGGAGTTGCGTGCGCAGTGCTTTATGGCTACAGGCGGCGTGTGTGCACACAAGGACGGAAAGGTTAGCCATCACTGGCCTATAGTATTACAGCATTGTGCTTTCCAGATACTGGAGACTTCCAACAGATGTTGAAGACTTCAATACACTATCAACCTGGCCCTTACCCAATTTAGTTGAGGATTATGGCAAAAAGTCTAATATGTTCACATTAAGAATGCCAAAATTGAGAAGACTTCACTAAATTATATAAATTTCAAAAACTATTTCCTAATATTTGGAATGAAGTAGCAAAGAAATAGAGGCACTTACTATGTATTTCCTCTGAAGATGTCTCCTTAGAACATGCTTGTTCAAGTTTGATTTTGTTGTAAACGTTTTATTGCAATCATCTACTGTGCATCTATAGAAATAATAAAGTATAATAAAAATGAATACATTGTAGTAGATATTACTAGAACAAATGCCTGATTTTAAATAACTCAATACAAATACACTGATTTCAGCCAATACAGTTAAACATCTATCTAAATATATAAAGGAGATATTAACATCTACCTAAATAAAAAATAATTTATGTTGTCAGCAATACTAGATTTGTTTCCTTTCTGCTACACATACCAATATAAGTTCAGTTAATAAAAACTTATAATATAACGAAGCAATGAAACATTGCAATCTAGTTATGTTGTAAGCTATACAAACTGGTGTCAGAATTGGTTGGAGTTTTTGTTGCTCAAATGATAATATACTTACACAAATTGTTTTTCTCCAGTATGTGTAAGAAAATGACGCTTAAGATGGGAACCTCTAGTGAAGCCTTTTCCACAGCCTTCAAAAATGCAAACGAAGGGGCGCTGATAAATTTTAAAAAAAGATTTTTAAAAATGTTGTTTCAATTCTCTTTTTAAATGTCTACTTCTTGATTTCTCAGTTCCCATTCATATTCCATTTTCTCTACTTTTTGTTGTTGATGAGCAACTATTGTTTCCCCAGAGTTGTATTAGATATTTCTCATTTTGCCAATCCACTCGACACCTTCTTAACAATCTATTACTGTCTATAGCCACCAAGTTAAAGGCTGACCTGATCCACAATGAACAAAACTTTCCAGTTACTCAAACACCCCTATCATTCATTTTCAGCCATCAAAACTGATCCATAATTTAGGTGAAAAAACAATCTGTTTTTAAAACAGTAGTATAACAGGGTAACACATATTAAGGATACTTGACAGTGATTAAAATCTTGAGTCAGGCTATTTTGTTTCCTACTGGATGGTGATGAGAGGACAACTTTGTCTTGGTGCCCAGCTTAAACCCAGAATGCTCCAGAAGAGAACAATGGGTACTAGTATTTATCTTCTCTGTTAGCCTTTGTGGAAAATACACAACTTTGCACTGAGAAGAAAAGGGCAGTGGGATAATTTGCTTCCTCAAGTGATTCTGGGGACCAAAAAGCAGCAGTTAGAACTGTCAGCTCAGTGTAAATAATTAAATGATTGCATGTAGTCCATCACCATTCTACAGTAAAAATTTGTATACAAGTTTTCATTATATTTTTATCCCACGTTTATTATCTATTAGCTAAAATCATAATATTAATATATGATATTAAAACTAATACATCAGGTTAAGTGGAGCTCCCCACTTCTGTAAGGGAGCCCAAGGGATTTAATAAAAACAAACAGCAGCAATTTATGTTTAAATCCAAGTTTCCTTCCTTTGGCCTCGTGCCCAACAATCTCAATTTCTGATTAGCCCCCAGATTTTTCAGCCTAGCCGAGGTCAGTCGATGGTCATCCAGACTCGAGCTCCAATCCACGGATTCGTATTTGCGGTACACGTAACCCAGAGAGACAGACGCCCGAAGGACGAACCAGCGCCTCAATTGCCATAGTAACCGCTGCGCATGCGCTTCTCCTCAACCACTATCAGAAGCTACTTCTTAATGATTGGTCATCCGCCCACCGCCCAATGGAAACTGCCGCCCATCCTTCCGCAAAGCTCTATTTCCGCCCTCGGCCCAGCCCTCGAGACTAACGGTTGGTCGTTCCAGGAAATGTTTTCCGACCACTAACCCAATCACCGCTCTAGTTCCTGGCGCGCCAGGTACCCTCTATAGGCTCGCCACTTCATACTCCTATACCTCTCCCGTGTGCCGACACAGGTGAGCATCCAATTTCCAGTTCCGGTTGAAGGTGGCATCGCAAAGTGGGAACGAGCAGATGAATATCTGCTCCTGAGGCGGAGAACGGTAACGGCTCTCTCCAAGATTAGAATATTTGTGCTTCGGAGACTGAGTCATCGTGGAGGAGGTAGTGGTGGTAGTAGAATCGGCGGCGGCCACCTCCCCGACAACGAAGTCCTCTCCGGCCATATTTGGACCATAAATCATGTGACTGTGCCGTAACTCCGCCTCTCCTCTATTCATGCTCCAGGCTTTCTGAAGCTTTACAGTTACGAACCTCCGTCCTTAGAAAACGCCTCCCCCCCATCGGCGGAGAATGCTTACAGAGGCTGCGTGAGGAGAGGGAAAATGATTCTAGCGCATGCGCACTGCTGCGGTTCTGTTTTTTTTAAAGGGAGGGGGGTTGGATCAAGTTGGGCCGTTTCGTGGAACGTTCGCTTTTTTTTTTTCTTGTGGAATTTTTAAAACTATAACGGTCAATTGAGGAACTCATCTTTGGCACGACTCTTCATTGTCCCTTATTACCTTATAACCTTATTACCACCAGCCTTACGAAGCTTTCTTGCTTTCAAATATTTATTCATTGCATTTATATATTATATTCCCTCATGGCGACTCGAGGCGGCTTACAGAATGTAAAACCATATTTAAAACACCAAAAAAACTCCAATAAAAATAACAAAAAGAATCAAACAAATTAATAAAGTACAATAGAACAAAATCGGGGGGGGGGGGGACAAATCACCCCGTAAGTCCCACCCACCCCCGCCCCGGTGACAGCAGATCACACGAGCCTAAAAATTAAAAATTGCAGTTCGGTTTCTAGTTGTCCTGAACGACAAGATGTAAAAAACACGGCTGTTTTTTTGAAAATTTTATTTGGGTTTTCACACAAAAAAAGCATAATACAAATAAAACATCTTTTTTTGAAAATAGCATGGTCCCGGTTTACACTTCTTCATACAGACACAAACTCAATTGCATGCTCATTTTTGTGTTCCATATCTTGTTACTGTTTTACATTTTCTACATAGTTTTCCCCCTCTTTTAATTTTCTCAATTTTATTTTAATTATCTCATCTCAATTCAAGTCATTATATTTATAAGTCTGTCCTGTTTCAATTTCATATTATCTTTTCTCATTAAACAAATTTTCTCCTGTAGTTACTAATTGGAGTATGACACCTTTATATCTTTTAATTTATCCATTCAACTCTTATTTAAGCTTCAATGTATGCCTTAAGGTTATAACATTCAATATAATATATAACTTCCAATCGAATTCTGCTTGGTACATTCTTAAAATACACACTATATTCTTTTAAAAAGATTATAAATATATGTAATTAAAACACTCATTCCATTTCAGTTCAGTTCTATCATTAATATTCATTAAAATCTTAACATCTTTAACATTTCAGTTAAATATCATACTTCCTTGGGAACACTTATAAGCTTTCCATAATTAATTTCTCCCCCCCCCCATTTCTCTGCACTTATATTTTATAAATAATTAAATAATTAAAATGTTCCCATCCTTTCCTAATTCAATTCTCTCATTCATTTTATTTCATTTGTTTATTAACAAACATTCCACTAGATTACAATAACTATTTTATCCATCAGTTTAATCATACATTGTTTCATATTTTCTGAAATTATTTCTATTTCTAATATAACAATACTATCTTACGTACCTTTGCAGAATCCCTTTTCCAATTAAATTTTCACCCATTATCTCTAAATAGGCCCTCTTTCTCTATATCTTGTTTCTGTCCTTTATAACTTCTTCTCCTTTCCCTTTTTACCCCCTTGTCTCTCTACTTCTAATTCTCTCTTCTGTAGTCCCCTCTTCTGTTGCTTTCTAATATTATACTTATTTTTCAAACTATTCTTCTTTTTTTGGTTGTTTTTTCAAATCTTAAACTTTTCATTCTCTTTCCCCCTTTCCTTTTTCCCCCCACATAAAATTACTTGTTCATTAAAGATGGCTTCTTCTTTATCCCAATCTTCTTCTGCAAGCGTTTCTTGTTGTTTCTCATAGTTCCAGATCTCCATTTCTAAGAGTTGAAATACAAAGCCAAAAGAACTTCTCCCTTCTTGTGCATCTTCTTTGTACTTTTTAAGTTCCATTTTCAGTTCTTCTAAAAGTGGTGCCATTTTAAACACTTTTAAACAACCACCCAATTGATTTTAGTCATTCAAATGCAATAACCAAAAATCCAGAGATCACCAAGTAATCCAAATACTCCCAAGCTGTTTCTTCTTGCTTCTTTTTTCCACTTTCTCTTCCTGGGATTCTACTATTTTGTTGCCAAGTTTCAGTTAAAATGTATCTTTTAGAAGTCTTATTGAGGTTTTACTGTAAATTCCTTTTAAATTCCAGGCAGTCTCCTCCCTTTTTTCCAGATCCTGCCCTTTTATTCTTTTTCTCTCTTTTTCTGCTTTCAAAAGCTTTTAAATATCCAGAAATCTTTATTATCCCTTTGACATTTTATTTTCAACTTAAATGCCTATTGATGTCAAAGTGGATTTTTTTTTCAATTTCTTGCTTAAGTCCCTTAGCTGTCAGTATAGGGAAAGGAAGAGAAGAAGAAAAAAAACCAAATCCTTTCCCTTTTCTCTCTTCTTTGCTGCTTCAAAGTCTTCTTTGGGAACAATGCTATTTTTTTTATAGTTTAAATTCCAGGGTACCTTCGTTGTTGCTTTTTGGAGTTTAACCCGGTCAACCAAAACTTTCTCTTTTTATCTTCCTCCTGCACATTCTTTTCTGGTCGAGTTCTTCTTTGAGGTGGCCATTTCTGACCACCGCTGCAACCGCCTTCGGGAAAGGGAGTAATGGCCAGCTGAGGAGGAGAGATGCAGCTCCCCTCAACCCTCAGGCAGTCTACCCCCTCTTCACCACCTCTATAGGATGGCTTAGCCCCGAAACCAGCAGGCTCGGGGCGCTCCAGCGGCGAGCACGGATCGAAACCGTGCACATCCGCAAAGAGACTCAAACCGGAACTCCACGATTTTAAGAGATACTTTAAAAGTTTGATATAACGTGCATATTTCTTCCATTCTATTTCCAGTCCACCAGCAGTCCTGAAGATTAAAATTCTACTATTCCGTGCAAAATTTTTCTTGAAAATTCATTTATTAACTAAAGGACAGATTCTAATGTTATCATCTGATTGGGAACCTATCTGCATTTTACACATTCCTATATAGACATTGTAGATTTTTAAGAAAATAGAAGAAGCAACATTTTTAAACTGCTTTGCCCAATTATGAGAATTGGAGTCCACACATCTCAAAGTTGTTGAAATTAAGGAACTGAAGAGAGCTGATAAGATAACTTTAGTTTAAGATCTCTAAGAGTATTTTGGAGAAATAGCAGTGAGAACCTGTATTTGTTCTCAAAATATTTAGAAAAATAGTGTATCTGATGACAGAAAGCTATTTTCACCCCAGAGAGGATAGTTGGATTGCTTATAGGGTGTTCAGAGAGGCTATAATTATAATTTATGTCATATTAATAAAACTGTCGACAGTGATGGGAGGGATTTTTAAATTTTATTTTGGGGAAAAATAAAGAACAAAAATTGTGGCTTAAATTTTTGGTTATGCCGCTCTTAATAGCTTGTAAAAGAAAAGGTTCCCCTCACACATACATGCTAGTTGTTTCCGGCTCTAGGAGGCCGTGCTCATCTCCATTACAAAGCTGAAGAGCCTGCGCTATCAGAAGACGTCTCCGTGGTCATATGGCCAGCATGACTAAATGCCGAAGGCACATGAAACGCTGTTACCTTCCCACCAAAGTGGTCCCTATTTTTCTACTTTCATTTTTACATGCTTTCGAACTGCTAGATTGGCAGAAGCTGGGATAAGTAACGGGAGCTCACTCCGTTATGTGGTACTGGGGATTCGAGCCGACCTTTCTGATCGACAAGCTCAGTGTCTTAGTCACTGAGCCACCGCGTAACCAATAAATACTGGACACTAAACACTAAAGTTGTTTTGCATAAATGTCATTTATATTTCTCACAATGCTGCTGATACAGCATTGTACCAGGTATTGTGGAAAACTAAGGCAGCATCTCAGATGCTTTGCTGGAAACATTGCTGACCCATCTCTAATTAGGGATTTGAACCATCATGCTTATGTGTTTCTATTTGTTCAATATATGTGGCTGCTAATACTTTACTCAGGACTATTTAAAAATAAGATAAAATCACACAACAACATTACAAATGACCTAGCAGTCAAGAAAAATCAACTAATTGGCACAATTATGATATAGGCTCAGCCATACCAGGCTGTATGATGAGGTTTTCGGGGCCTTAAAATACTGTTAGCTCATGCTTTCTGGAAGATTTAATGGAAATATAATGCAAGCTGCAGGTTTTCTGCATTGTCTTAACATAGTGAAAGAAGCAAAAGCTACTGCTTTGTTCCCATGTCACAAGGGACTGCCTGTTCTTTAGTTCTATCTCTTCCTGTCTAAAGAGAAAACACCATCCTTCAATCTTGATGTTTTCTTTCCCCAAGAAAATAATCAATACATGAAATAAGCAGGTGCTTTGTCTGCTTTGCACATAAAATGAATGACGCATTCTTTACCTAAGAGCGAGGCTGGCAACATCTCATGGGAACTAGAAAAGCTATCTGAGCAGACAGAACTATAAAATTACTGATCAAATGATTCTGTGTCAGCACTATGAGGAAGCTGACTGTAGTACCTCTTAAAAACTCTAAAGGCAGTTTGGTAGGATATACTACTAGTTTTGAATATCTGTTTTGTATCAATACGCTTATCAAGGCCACTTTCCCATACCTATCACACTACACTGTAAAAAGAACAATGACACATCATTCTATCAATTAGAATGATACACTGGGAAATGTTTAATTCCCATGATCAAAGCAATTATGAGTGTTGAGTGTCTAATAAACGTTCCACCTGTCAACAGCCCTTTTTTAATTAAATGCAAAATACCTAGCAGTAGAAGTCATCAGTCATCAATTCTGAGCCAATATTTTAGATCTCTGTTTCTGAAGTTCATTATGTAATATAATTCACCTTATCTGTAGTCTCTACCTAGTCATAACTAATTGTCTATGACAAAGTAAGAAAACAAGCATAAAATATTTTTTCTTCTGAAATCTAGTAGTAACTGGAAGTGAGATTTCATTTTATTGGGTATTTTTTACTCTAAATCACATAGACATGGAGCTGTAATGAAACTTTTCAAGATTAAAAAAAGAAAGCCAAAAGAATATATATCAAGAGAAAGAAAAGAACTTAACCTTTT